GACAAGTAAAATAAAATTCATCATAGTTGGTGATTCAATTTAAGGGTTAAGGCTGTGGAGGGCTATATAGTACATCAGAGAGAGATGGTTGAATGTCTTCTGGTCTAGTTTTTGTTAGCAATCAAAATTGTCTTGAAAGTAGGACCATGGAGATGCTGGAATGTTTTTGATGATATTAATGGAATGTCTTGAGAAATTTGATGGTACATTATTTTCGATGATATAGATGAAATGACCCAGGAAATTTCATTGGTTTTATTTATATTCGTGTCAAAGTCTCAAAATGGAATGATCGTTCACTTAGCTATGGCATGAAAGACAAGGATTGAGCTCTTTATATTAGGGTGGTTTCCAACAGGACTTGGATAAGAGTAGATAGTCTTTGTTCCATATACAACTTGGTAATGTATGCTTTAAATCATCGTTTCGTGTGATATTTAGTTTGAATTTTTCATTCGGATGTAATTTTTTACCTAGTTGTGTTGACATTTTTTCTCCATCTTGAATTAAGGAGTTTTTATCGAGGCATGCAATCTAGGTCTTTGAGATATTAATAAGATATTTTGTTGAGCAAAAAAAAACCATGCTTTATCTTTAAAAAAAAATCAACAACTATAAATAATATTTATGTCTCTGTTCAAAACTAGACACAATATTGTAGGCATGGAGATTGAGAGAATCAATTTAACATATAGATCCACGATTTGTTTTAAATTTATCGATAAATTATGTAAAAGGGAACCTAACTAGACATAATGATAAAATTACCCTAATGTTGCACAAATTATCACTTTAACGTATATTCCTTCTTTTAGAGCATTTTAATCTACAATGTTATATATTAAAAAGAAAATTTGTTAAGACTTTGGTAATTAAAAATCAACATAGTAGGCATACCTAGTATTTTCTCCTTAGGATTTTCAATCCTAATTTTCTCTTCTTTTTTATACTGCACTAGTTTTTTTTTCTTTTTCATCTTTGTGCGACACTAGTCTTAGTGTTGGTCGCTGACAGTTGGTATTCATTATTGGTTTTATTTTATTATCATATCTTTGTTTTATTTTTCTTGTTTTTAATTTTTAATAACTATGTCTTTATGACAGATTTTTCTTTGTCTTTATGGCACGTTTTTCTTTTCCTTTTGGCATGTTCTCGATCGTTTAGTCACTATTTTCGTTTATCTTTTTTTAGGGGTGGATTTGAGATCGCCACGACTGATCAAGGCAATGCTTATTTGTTATCATGTTGACCTTCTCTGCTATGGATTCTCTTATTGAATTTGGATACACAATGTGTTTGTGGTTTATTTTCTCAAGTCGTTCAATTCGGATTTATAATTTGTTGGTGATCTTTCAATAAATTTATGATTTGTTTATCATGTGGCCAGGTTTATTCATATCTACCTTTTATCGAGTTTATTTGGTTTGATTTTTTAACTTTTTTATGATCGTTATATGACTAGTTTATTGTGTTAATGATTATATAAAAATGTCTTATTATATGTTTAAGTTAGTTATAAACCTTAACTATAATTTGGATATTTTTCTATTTTTATAAAACTAATAGCCTATATCTTGTAAAAACATAGTATGCCACACGGTTTTAAGACAAAAAATATACAAGTTTTACTTAATTATCAAATTAACACAAATACTTCAAACTATCTCAAATCATAATTAGAAACCAAATTCAACCCTAATATTCGTTCGTTTCATTTGGCTCCTAAAATTGATAAAATTACTATTTTATTCCTTAAACTTTCATATTTTACTATTTAATCCTAAATAAATTCTCAACACTCTTTTCTTCAAAGAAATGGTCTTATATTAATTTTGTCCTATTATCATTTTTTCCAATATAATAATAGACTAAACAATTAATATTTAATAATATTTTATTATTAACGGAATAAAATCATACCAAAATTTTTAGGGATTACAACCAATTTGAGGAGGTGTTGAAATTAAAATAGGTAGTTTAATATTCAGTCAACAAACAATTAATAGTTAGATGATTTTGTTAGTTAGTTAGACGATTTAGTTAAATTTGTATATAATGTTTCATGAATAGATCAATATTGTTCTTACGCTTGCCGAATTTCTTGCCTACACTTCAAAACAAATGTTGGTTTTCATTTTCCCTCGTCATCGTTGAGCCGAAATGGGCCAAAAATGAACCCTAAATTTTAAGGCATTCCTTAATTCGATTTGGGTAGCTTTAGTAAGACTAGGCTTATCCCAAGCCTCTTTTCAATAGAATGAAACTACCAGAACTATATCATATATATATATATATATATATATATATATATATATATGAAACAATGTCTGCTTACGCTATGTAAAACTAATAAATTTTATATTAATTTATATCCATTAGATTTAAATAAAATAAATGGTTTAGATTTAATTGAAATTTATAACACATAAATAATATCTTTTAATTAATAGTAAAACAATATCTTTTTTATCCCAATTCCCAAATCTCGAACTCCATAATCTCAAACCCTAAAATCATATATCAAACCCAAAATCATAAACTCTAAACCTTAAAAATTAAGATCCTAATCATATATATATAAGATCTTATTACACAATGTAAATTTTTTTAATTTTATACAGATTTAGACCGTTTGATGAGTAAAAATAGATGATTGTGATTAACAGTATGAAATATATAGATATTTATTAGAAAAAAAATAAAGAATAAATCTCAATCATCTATTTTCACTCATACAACAATGTTAAATAAAATAATTGCGTCATATTGCCATTCAATTAATAATGTGTTTGTTGATAATACATATACATTATACATGAACGATTTAGAAATAGAGCTTTCATCCATAATAATCTCATGATTATGACTCCATATGGATCATTATGCCTCATCAGCTTCATTCGAATAAGGGCCTCATGTTTTTCAATTAGTAATGCCATTGATAAAAATTATTATTAATATTTAAAATAATTTTTAAAGAAAAGTTGACCCCAACGAAAGAAAAAATAGTTGTGGTCCTTTGTCAGCCTTGTTTTGGAAAAATCTATTCTATCGTCTTCTGGTTCAAATATATTTGTTTCCTTGGAGCCATGCTTGAACCTATCCATCGCTTTTAGAACAGAAATGTGTAGTTTTCCTGGGAAAATAACAGGTGAGAAAAATAAAATTGACATTTTATAGGTTTTGTCTAATAGATGTTTTTAATCATTAAACTTATTGTTATTTTTCATTATTCTTAATTTGTCTCGTGATAGTATTTATTTTATCTTAATCCGAAACATAATTATACATAATATTATTCGAATTCAAGTTACATATAAAGAACATACTACCTTTTATCTTTTAAAATTTTGAAATATATCTTCATATTTTGCTTTTATCAATATCTGTGATAACATTTTTGGGTAAATCGATAAACCTTTTGTTATTTGTTGATTGAGATATTAAGTACGACAAAGGTGTATTTAGAAGGTACGATTGATAGGATTTATTTGTATCCTATATATATATTTGACATAAATGAGTGTTATTGTGTAGTTAATTAAGAATGAGTATTATTTTAAAAACTAGTATATGAATAAAAATAAGCATAAATATAAAAAAGATTACTTTTATCGTCAGACTAAACAATTATTTTGACTCCTATTATTTTTCTTTTTTTTAGTATTTCAACCTAATGTTTCATCTTCAGACAAAAGATCTTTCGCGGATGAAAACCGTTAGTCAAAAAATTATCAACTCTAAACATAGAGGTCTTTTTATCCTAAAATTAGACATGGGGGCTAAAATGCTCTAAAAAATAAGAGCTAAAATGATTATATAATCAAAAGATAGGGGTCTTTTAGCCCTAAAACGAAATATTATGGCCAAAATGCAAAAAGAACAATATGAGTCAAAGTGACTATTTAGTTAACATAGCCAAAATAACTATTTAATCAAATATTAGTGGTATTTTTCGATATTATGCCATAAAAATTTTAAGAGTAAACTATATTTGTAGTCGTTGATCTTGTGGTGGTCATTGATCTTTAAAGGTGCTTTCACTTTTTTCATTAAATTTTTAAAACTTATATTATAGTCACTACACTTTTAATTCGTTTTCATTATGGTCATTATCGTTAAGAACTATTGACGTAGCACATTAAAGTTTTCTTCCAAAAAAAATCCTAAGGATCCAAATTTTTAGCCATCGTCAAGGCCAAGTTTTTTTTATGAACGGGGCGGTTGTGGATCAATCCCAATGATATGAAGGATTTATTTGACCAAAAGATTAGTGTAGTTTAGTTTCAAGCAGATCCAACTATTGATAATGACATATAAGAAGTTATAACTTTTAGTTTTAGTGAGGATTTATTTGGGATTTTAGAAAATAAAAGGTTTTTTTTATGAGTTTGAATCAAAAGAAAGAACAAGAAGAATAAAAGTAGTTGGATGATCTTTTTTTAACTGAAAAATCACTAAACGATATCAGAAATGACATGAAAGCAATTGATGGTCCAATAGTACTTAAAAGATAAAACTTTTTGATCCATCATTTTTAATCATTATATTAACTCAAAATTCAACTATATTAATCTTTTGGCTAAATGAAACATTCTCATCCTTGAGATTAACCAACTATTGCTTCGTTCATCGGAAACTCGTTTTTTTACAATAATTATCAATTTTGAAAATTAAGATTTTTTCGGGAAGAAGATTCCACATCAATATTTCCTAATGACAATGACTGTAAAAAAAATTTAAAATTTACTGATTGTAATACAAGTTTTAAAAATTAGATTACCAAAATGAAAGAACTTACATTAATATAATTACGATAAACGCGTGATGGAGGGAAAATATGGTAATTCCATTTTGAGGCTGTGCACCATCCCCAAGAAGAATAGGTAAGGCTCCCCCTTCTCTTCACCAAAGCTTTGATATAAACCCAATGCTCTACCCTTCCAAAAGTAACCTCTCAAGTTACTTAATTCTACCACCAAAGTCCTTTAACTTTCAAAGCAAAACAAACTAGTAATTTTCCTCTCTTTTTCTTTTCCGGGTTTCCTTTGTGAGTTATGGGTTTAAGGTTTTGTCGCTTTAAGACTTTCCACATTACAGTGTTTCCAATCACAAATTTTTGCCATGATAAGTCATAGATCAATCTCAAAAACTCATGACTGATATTCCTCCTCTCAAGAACATAATCTTTTGAGTCTTTTGGAGGATCCCAAAAAAAGGTGGCAATCTTGTGGTGGTTTAAAAAACATGCAGAGTGAACACCTTTCTTCTTCCTCTAAAGCTATGGAATCTTTATGGATATCCTCTTCTCCCTCTGCTCTTCAGGGTAATTTTATTTTCCTTTCTTCTTCCTCTGCTCTTCAGGGTAATTTTATTTTCCTTTCTTTTAACTCTCTCTTCTTTTAATTCAATTTTTCTTGTCCATTAATAGGTTTTGTTTTGTCAGATGAGGATCTCAACGGATGGTGGCGCCACCAACTAGCGGGGAAGAAAAGGCGGCTTACGGCGACGCAAGTTGAGTTTCTTGAGAGGAGCTTCGAGTTCGAAAACAAACTCGATTCGGAGAGGAAGTTGCAAGTAGCGAAACAACTCGGGCTATCACCCCGACAAGTTGCCATTTGGTTTCAAAACCGGCGTGCTCGATCGAAGAACAAACAACTCGAGAAGGCCTACGATTCATTGAGAGCTAGCTTTAATAAGCTCAAGGCCGACTTCGATAATCTTCTGAAGGAGAAAGATGGTTTGCAAACGAGGTGACTATACTCAAAGAGAAGCTGCTTATAAGACAGGAAGAAGCTTGTTCTGCTAAAAGTGATGTTTTCGAGTCCGACAGTCCACGTTTTGCTGATGGCAATGGATATCGTTCTTTGTTCATGGATCCTAAAGATCAGTCGTTTTGGTCATCTCTTTACTAAGATGAATCGTTTACTATGTTCTTAGTATTGGATCCGCTTGTAACCAATATTAGTTTATGAAATATGTATAGCATTATATCATGGTACCGTTAGATCAGATGCCTGTGTTTTGTTTACACCTTGGAATTGTATGTTTCTGGTTGATAATAACTGGCCAAATATATCCGTGGGATGATATATCCGGATAATCTTCAATCCACCACACAATCATCATACAATTAACTCGGGTGTCCTCGTCGTCTCCCGAGCATCATACATAAGCATAAGTCTTATGGAATCCTACCTCATTACGATCTTATGTAATCACACAGTTAATTAAGGTATTCCACTTGTGAGTTTATTAGAAGGTTCTCCGCACAAAACCCCTTGGTTTCGCCCCTATAGCCTCAGCTAGGCTTATGGCCTAAACAGTCACGATGGTACCGATACTCTTCTTTGGGTATCGGTATTCCCCTCATGTGGTATAGATATTTCCTCGAGTATTAGTACCAAAAATGCATTCAATGTTTTGAAAATTATCTCAGTATCGATACTCTTATGAGAGTAAGAGTATCGATACGCTCCCACTTGGATATCGATACTCCCTTGAGTATCGATACTAGAATTGCTTTTGATATTTTGAAAAACACCTCAGTATCGATACCCTTATGGGGAGTATTGATACTCTATCCTTGGTATCGATACTCCTATAAGTATCGATATCAAAATTGGGTTCGATGTTTTTTATCAAGGCCCCAAGTATCGATACTAGGCCCTGAGTATCGATACTCTTGATGGGGTATCGATATTTTCCTCACAAACTCTTTGAATGTTTCCCTTACATGACCAATAGTATTGATATTGTTCTTATAGTATCGATACCCTCTACCCATAAAAGTCTATTTCAATCATCTAAAATCCTCCAATTCATTCTTAAAGTGTCCCCAAGGCCCCCAAATGGTTTTTAAGGTTATTTAATACTTAAGGAACATGAAAGTTCATTACTTTAATCATGAATAACAATAATTTCCTTTTTCATGCATTTAAACCCCCAAGTGCACACAAATGGATCATACATTCAAACATGCATAAAAACTAAACATGTTGATCTACAAGCAGTAAAGAAAGGTTAGAAATGTGTTACTTCTCACCTAGAGGCTAAAGAAACAACCCAAGGCTCAACCAACCACCTCTTTCCCTTTGTCTTTGCTTTTTAGCCTTCACCACTTCTCTCACTATAATAATCCATGTAAATGAGTTATTAACTCATCTAAGGGCTTAAGAAAGATAATAATGTGGTTTCTGAACATTAAGACAAGCCAGAATCACTTTACGACTCTTAAAACCCAAACCCCTATTAAACCTCTTTTATGGCTTCTTTAACCAAATGTGAAGATGGAGGGCTTAAAACAAATCTCTAAGAGAGGATATTATCTAACTTACCTTCTTGGATTAAACAAGGAAATCCTTTCCTATGTGGATAAGAGAATGGATTTTTGAAGAGAGAAGAAGACAAAGATGGAGGGATGATTCCAATGTGGATAACATAATCCAATTAAATGGGAATCAGCCTTTAAAGGATTTTTCAGGTTAAAAGCTCTTTTGGTCCTCCCTCTTTCTTGCACAATTCAAAAACACCGCTCTTTAGGCCTTAATAGCTCAAGCCCAGCTATAACAACCAATGTCCAACCTAACACTTGTAATTGGTTTCTTAGCCTAAATTACAACCCACTAGGGCTCACACGAAACTACTAGCTCGAAAATCGGGGTGTTACAAAGCTGACACCTACTACGTCTAAACTATCTTTAATATACTCTCTGCTTCTTTCACTTTTCAACTTCGTTTAGAGAATACACTCTCAGTTTTTTCTGAAACATGCAAAAATAGTCATTTGTTAATGCTTTGGTCAATCTATCTGCTATCTGATGCTCAGATGGAATGTAGTTTATCTTCAACTTATTTGTAGCCACCTTCTCTCGAATGAAGTGTACATTCAACTGAACATGGTTAGTCTTTGAGTGATAAATTGGGTTGACACTCATGAAAATGACACTGGAGTTATCACTCCAAATAACAAACATATCACACAACTCAATCTTCATATCACTTAATAATGCCTCCAGTCATGTTAAATAAGAGGTCACGTCTGCCAAGCTTCTATACTCAGCTTTGTGGTCGATCTTGACATCGACTTCTACTTCTTCAAGTTCTACATCACAAAATAACCCCTAAATATACATAATTTTTAGAAATCGGTCTCATTTCATCTACAATTCTTCTCTGATCTACATCTATGAAAGCTACTAGCTGAAGAGGTTTTACTACAATAGAAAACTGCCAAGTGCTTCTCAAAAGGAGCATGCATAAATTGAGTTCTGATACTTTCTTAGATCATTCAGTGCACCTTTAGCATATTTATTCAATTTAACTAATGACACCAATGGTGTGGATGTTAGAGCTGCATCACTCATGTAAGCCTTAGTAAATAGCTCCATAATATATTATTTTGATTAATAAATATGAAATCCATTATACGCTTTACTTTAATGCCTAAGAAAAAAATCAAGGTGTCCCAAATCTTTAAGTGAAAACTTATCACCAAGCAACTTTACCATATTTTCAATGGCCTCACTTGTATTCAAAGCGACAATAATTTCATCTACGTACAGAAAAAATATGTAACACTTATCCCTCCACTTCTCACAAACAAAGAACAATATTCTCGTGAGCTTACAAACCCTATTTTTAATAAGTAAACATGCAACTTTGCATATTGGTTTCTTGGTGCTTGTCTTGGCTTGTATAAAGCTTTTTTTTCAAACCCTTAAGGCTACTGCGTGAATATATCTTCAGTCAAGTCACCATTTAAAAGAGCATTGTTTACATCGACTTACATTAAACTCCACTTTTTACATGCTGCTATTAAAAAATTACATTGATGATAGTCGATTTAACCACAAGACTAAATGTATCTTAAAAGTCTTACCTAAGAACCTATGAGAACCCTTTAGCTACTAACCTGGCTTTTTATATCTGTAGTGACCTATCAACATCCATTTTAATTCTAAATAGCCACTTATAGCCCACTGTAGATCATCCTTCAGGTAGGGTAACCAGTGTCCAGATATTATTTTTTATCAATGCTTTATATTTATAATAAACTATTGCCTTCCAATTTGTAGAATACAAAGCATCATGTATTGACATTGTGTTAGGATTTGCGAAAGCTCGAATCGACAACGGAACGGTTTGCAAAGAGGGGTCGGAACGGTTTTTGTGTTTAAGGAGTAAAGACATTGAAAGATAGAGAATTGCACATCGATTTATAGTGGTTCGTCTTCTCAACCAAGTCTACATCCACTACCTTAGCTCCTCACCAAGGATTTTCCAACAAATTCACTAATTTGTTCTTTCTTTTTTAGGACAAAGAGATAACCATTACAACTCCCTAGTTTTTCACGGATAAACTAGAACCTTTCCCTAGCTTTTACACGGGCTCAGCTAGAACCTTTCCCCTTTACAAAGGATAAGAAATGTAAACAAGAAAACCTCTCTAAGGTAGGTGTTTACAAGAATTAAGTTCACAAGAACAAAATATTTACAAGAGAAAGATAAAATAAGAATGAAAAACTCTTCTCTTGTGTTTGATTGCTTGGATAGTTGTTCTCTTACTTCTTCAAGTGTCCTCAGCTTGTATTTATAGCTTGAAATGAGTTTGAAGTCGTATCTAACCGTTTGAGGATTATTTTTCTATAAAACAAGGATGTTTATACCAGGGGGTATCGTACCCCTTAATAGGGTATCGATACTTCCTTTGTTAATTTCAAATTCAACTAGCCGTTGGAGCCTTGGGGTATAGATACACCTTCAAGGGGTATCGTACTCCTTTGTACTATGGTATCGATACCCTTGCATGGTATTGGTACCACAATTGCATTCGGTGTTTGAGCCTTCATAGGGGTATCAGAACCCATTAATAGGGGTATCGGTACCTCTTAACATTTTTGCTCAAATCCGAATTTAATAGACTTTGAATTATTTTTTAAACCTTTTGAAAACTTTGAATAAATTCAATTCAAGTCCAAAAACATTTTGCCTTAAATTTTATATCAAAACATAGTTCAACAATTTGATATAACAAAACATTTGAAAAATTATTTTATTCAAAACTCCCCCTTACTAAAATGTTTAATGAAAAATATACCAATTGTTTACAAAAGGATATCAATTGTTAAAAAGATATCAATTGTTGGAAAATATATGAAAATGTTTAGATCCCCCTTTTTCATTAAGAAATTTAATTTTTCAAACCATAGTTTTCCCAACAGATTCTTTAAAATGGAAAACATACAACAACGGCTCTATTAACTTCACCAATGATCCCCAACGTTCAGAATTGATCCAAGGTGTATTTAAACAACTTCTGAAGCCATTGATCAAAAAGAATTAAGATAGAATCAAAGAAAAATATGAAATAAGATTGAAAAACTCTTCTCTTGTGTTTGATTACTTGGATAGTTGTTCTCTTACTTCTTCAAGTGTCCTCAGCTTGTATTTATAGCTTGAAATGAGTTTGAAGTCGTATCTAGCCGTAGGGGATGTTTTGGAGCCATTTGGGGATTATTTTTTTACAAAATAAGGTTGTTCATACCAGGGGGTATCGATACCCCTTTATAGAGTATCAGTACCCCTTTATAGGTATCGATACTTCCTTTATTAATTTCAAATTCAACTAGCCGTTACTAGCCATTGGAGCCTTGGGGTATCGAGACACCTTCAAGGGGTATCGGTACTCCTTTGCACTATGGTATTGATACCCTTTCATGGTATCGATACCACAATTGCATTCGATGTTTGAGCCTTCATAAGGATATCAATACCATTCATCGAGGTATCGGTACCTCTTAACATTTTTGCTCAAATCCGAATTTAATGGACTTTGAATATTTTTGAAACCTTTTGAAAACTTTGAATAAATTCAATTCAAGTCC